AGCCCCACCTCCCACCGGGGACCCCCGTCTCCCCTCTCTAACCGCACTACGTTGGCATGCTCTTGGGTCCCACCACGGACTCGGAGCAAACCAGCGCTGCCAGCCCTTTCCCAGGACAAGAGGGAAGCTTCCGGCATCTCCCCAGAGAGAGGTGTGGGGACGGGAGGACCATCCCTCCACCCCAAGGATGGAGATCCCTGATCGTCACCCGCGGGTGGTCAGCTCGTTAGTGTGGGCTGAGGTGTCGGGACTGCTCTTCCCCCTGCACTACGCCACGTCCGCCTCCCTGCATCCTACGTCGCGGTGGGCGCAGGCCGTGGTGCCGGGCAGGGGACAGCCCCTCCTGCAGCGCTCGGCTCTGCCGCTCGCCACTACGAGAGCCTCCGGCGGGGGACAAGGCACGCGGCGTGCTCGCCTGCCTTCTGCCGTCGCCTCTTGCCTTCACCGCCTCCCCTGGGTATGCGGCAAGAAAGGGGTCTAGCACCCGACAGGGCAAGATCACGGAGGATGAGTCCTTCGAGCGCAACGAGCTGAGTGAGCGCTGCTGCCCGGGGGCCCGCAGGAAGGCACGCTGCGGGGCCCGGCTCTCCGTGCCCTGCTTTGGGGGTCTCCTTCCATAAGCACCCACCGCCGGCTGCGGCTGGGGACGGGGTCCGACCCGGAGGGACCTGGGGCTCCCCTGCGGGCTCTGTCCTGGCAGCGAAAGCGAATGCAGTGCCCGGAACCCACCCCGGGGCTTTGGTCACTGCTGCGTGGTAGCCTCCCATGGAGGCTGGTGGGGTCTCAGCTCTGCGGAGGGCTCTCAGCAGGACCCACGTCCCGCGGCAGCGCAGGGGACTGGACGCTCGTGCAGCAGGAGTGCTGCAGCCCTGACGGAGCCAGAGTGGGGAGGAAGGGGAGGAAGAGTCCGCGGCCTCGGTGCCGCGCAGCCCTGGGCCAAGAGGCATGGCATGAGTGGGGCTGGGCTGGTTATCACACTGCTAAATAGTCCACGACCACTCGTTTGGGTCAGCAATGTCACTGCGCTTGTCCTCCACGCTAAGCGATAAAATGCAACGGAACTGCAGCTCCCTGGCGCCGGCGTGTGACATCGGTTAACAAAGCAGCGGTCCTCGGGCTGTCTGCACAGGGCCCCGCGTGCAGCCCCGTCCCTCTGCTTCCCTGCCACCCTCCAAGCTCTGCCCTCCCACCTCAGGTCCCTCCTGGAGCAGACGGACGCTCTGGAAACCTGTTACTGGCAAGAGGAGTCCAAGGGCTGCAATTAATGCCGTACACTCGCTGCCACTAACGCGCACACCACACAAGACCCAGACTTCTGAGAGGTTAATGAGCACTAACGGTTTCTTAGAGAGATGGCTCCGAGAAGATGAGCTGAACACGGATATGAAGGTCTGCTCATGGTCTGTGGGCTTACACACATTTCCTCTTATTCTTATTTTCCTGCCGCCCTGGCACAGAAAGCAGGAGGGTTAGAAAGAAGCGTGACGATGAATCACTTTTGGGAAGCTCCGTCAATGAGGAAGAGCTGAACGACCTTGAGGGCCGCGGGACGAGAGACAGAACGGAAAGTGACAGTACAAAATACGGCGCCCTGCTCAGAGGGCTGGCAAAGGATCTCCGCTCTCTACTGGAAGTGATGGCGGGAGAGAGCGTTCTGGGTCTACTGACAGACCCCAGGAGGGGGTGACTGGGAGGCACCAACGCCGCACGGCCAGGGAAAGGCCAAAGAAACACGGCAAGATCTAAGGTGTGTGTTTCTCACAGACATAAGGATGCGTTTGTGTCACCACAGGACACGCTGCTACGCTCTCACCTGGAATTCTGAGCACAGTTCTGGTCACTCGTGTTTGGGAAAGGTAAATGCGAACAGGGACGGCTGCAGACACGGCAGCCGGCGTGCCACAGTGCCAAAGGCGTGTTTAACCCGCCCAAGGTGGGACAGAGGTGGAAATCACTGCCAGAGTCTGTGAAAGAAGAAGAGAGGGTTCAGCTGGAGGGTGCTGACCCCGCAGCAGCCCTGTGCAAGCGCACTCCTCACCAAAGTGCTGGATGCCCGACGGCTGTCCGGCAGCACGGTCCTCGCCAGGAGTGGAGACGCAGGTCCCACAGAGACCCACGTCACGCGGGGCTGTGCTGCGAGGCTTCCCGGGCTCTCAGCACAGTTCCTTTGTTGTTTGGTGGCTATTTGTGCTCTTGGGGAATGGGATTGCTGGAACCGCACGTGGACATCAGCTGTGTGCCCAAGTGTCCACGGCTGGCATGTCCTTGCAGTGACGAGGCAGTGGTGCTGCGGCAGACCTTCCTGGGCTTGGCTGGTCGGCAGATGTAATCTGTAGGTCTGTTCTCCTCTGCAGAGCACTGGCTCAGTCAGCGCAACGCCCTTTTGGCAACGTGCTGTTGGCTCTCCACACCTTCAGCAGCGCTGTTCTGCCAACCATGCGTTACATTGCAGACAGCCCACCGGTCTCTGGTGTCCTGTCCAGCACTGGAAGCTGACTTCGTTATGGGCCATCAGTCCAATTATTTGGCCACAGGCACTGACTTCATCCTGCTCTGAAGCCAAGTAGTTTTTCTGATTGTGATGGTTCACAAGCGGCACCTCAGGACCGTCTCACTTCCAGGGACATGCACATTACGCACGGCGACAATATCTGCTTGGAAGGTTTTCTCCTGGATCACAGCTCCTCTTCTTTGCAGGTTCGCGTTGGCATATCATGAGTTTTGCCTGAGGAATACGCACTGACAGAGATGTGTACCACCCAGCTGCAGCCAAGCTGAGGCCAAGTGCTGCCACATTTTGGGACGCTACTACCGAGGACTTCAGCTTTGTCAAGTTTCATAAGCACTACGGCGTTGTCCACTTCTCCTTTAGGCAACATCAAGTCAATGTAACTGTGGAGCTTAATAAGAAAAATGAAATGCTTTCTTTACTTTCTATTTCTGGTGGTGGTCCAGCTGGGCCTTGGAAGACCATCAGCCCAGAGATGGTGGGATTGCTGGCAGCCACAGGTTTCTCTGTGAGTTGGGACGTGGCAGCTCTAATCACCGCTGTAGGGCTGCCTTCAAGCTCGTCTTCTCTGAACACGTGAAATCCAGGTTCTGGCAGCTCTCAACCCCCGTCCTGCAGAGCTCGGTGGTGGCAGTCTGTCAGCACCAGCAGTAGCAGTAGATCGGTTGCCTGGGTTGCTTCTTCAGCATAGCCAGAAAAAATAGTCTTCTGAGGCGCAGAAGACAAGGCCTGATTGGCGTGCCACAGCACGCGCCTGGAACTGACGGGAGTCAGCAAAGAGGGAGAACAGGTCTCATGGGGAGCAGTCCCACAGGCAAAGAAACACCAGCTTGATGAAAAAGGAAGTTCTAACCAAAGAAAGAGGGATTATGCATTTGTAGGACAGCTAATTAAGCCTTCTGGGAATACTTTTACTGAAGGTATTAAAAAGCAGATTTCTTGAATAAGTCACTAATGGACAAGGATTCTTCCTTTGAACTCTATCTCAGTCCAGATTTCTTCAAGAGTAACAAAGGCAAGGACAGATTCAGCAACAGAGGTAATGCACTTCTAATCACTCCAAAGAGAAAGGCTTCGCTTTTGCTCGCCATGTCTTTCGTGTTGCAGCTCTTGACTTCCAGGTGTTTTCATAGCGGCCTTCAAAAGCATCTCCATTGCTGTTCATTCCAGCTGCATGAAGGACTCGCCTCCTGTGGTGAACCACCTTCGCTCACTGATGAGCGAGACATGAGACTCCTTTTGTGATTCTCCACCGGTGCAGAGCTCGGTGCCCCAACCGCGGCCAGGCTGTGCTTTAGGGCCGGGGCTGGAGACTAACCCTCTCTCTCTTCGCTTGAAATGCAGATGGACACTTTGAGGCCTCCTGCCTAGAATGGTGCCTGCACAGACGACATGACACCTCTACAGCTCCCATTTTGGAAGGATTTTGTCTTTCAGAATTGTCTCATGAGAACTGTCCCTGAAAATGGAGGACAAAGGGGAGGAGTACAAGAAAGGACAGTCTCTCTGGATAGCCCCCAAACCAAAAATCAGAAGCACTTGTGCCACGTGTCACCATGGAAATAACACAACCGCCAAAGAGGACATAAACTCACTGGCATGAGATGGACGCTCTCACAGGCCACTTTGCCAGTGAGAACGGTGTCCAGGAGAAAGCAGCACTTCCCAGCCCCTGCCCGCACCCCAGCCCCTGCTGACAGGCTCCGTTCAGACGAGTTTTCTTTTGGTGGACAGCCAGTGAAGGGGTACGGACCTGTTTCAAAAGCTGGAAGGAAAGACGCTTCTTCACAGGACCTTGGGGAAGCCCTGCCGACCAGAGGGCCAAGTGAAGCCTCATGACGAAGGAGCCAGGAAAGCCCTTCTCTCCTGTCCTGCTTTCAGCTGCGAGTTAATTTGCTTTCCGGATTTGGTATGACAGGAGTGTCAGTAATGCATACTGGTTTACTTGTTGCTAGGTGATGTTTATACTATTCAAGGACTTTTCTCAGCTTCCCATAGAAGCCGGGAAGGAGCACAGACGGAAGGACGGAGCGGCCGGTGGAATATTCCGTACCGCAGACGCCACGCTGGGCATAGAAGCGGGGGTTGGCCGGGGGGTGGGAATCGGCG